CTACCTCTACCTTCCTTCCCCGCCTCACGCCCACTGCCTCTCCCTTTACGCTCCAGCCACAGCAAACTGCTCCTCACCTTCCCTGCACATGCCATCCTGTTCCTGGCCTCCTTTCCTTGGCTCATACAGTGTCGACTGCCCACAACGCCCTTCCTCACCTACTTCTCTCCATTTCAACGTGGAGCTCTTATTTTATCCTTTTGCACTTATACCTCAGGCATCTCCTTCTCTAGAAAGTCTTCCCAGGTGTCCAGCTGGCTGCAGGGACCCACCTGCATGCACACAGTACGTATCCCAGGGTAGCCACTGGTCCAAGTAGAATGTGGAGACACTGAGTTAGACCTGAACCCAACCCAAAGCCTGGTCCTTAGCCCAGCAACCTATGGCCTGAAACAGAATGCTGCTGACCCATTGACCTGTGAAGGAGGAAAATAAATATTTGGTGGTGTAAGCCACCAAGATCTGGAGGATGTTTGTTATGCAGCATTACTGCAGCAATAGCTAATTAAGACATCATTCGTCCTTGCGTTCCCAAGCACAGTCCTGAGCTAAAGATATTTGTTGAATAAAGAAGCAAATACATTCTTTGATCCAAAACATTTGCAGTATGAGTATGCTCAAGGCACTGTACCTCATAAGACCTCTGCTACCTCTTCTTTTCAAAGTGGATAATGATGGCTTCTTCGCAGGGTTGATGTGAGGATTAAATGAAATGGCATGGGTTAAGCTCCTGGCACGTTGTGCTAAAGAAGCGACATTTTTTCTTCCTCTCTCTTGACCCCTTGACATCTTTGTCAAGGGGGGCAGCAGGGAGAGAAAGGAGCTTCTTACTCTAGGCTGTTGAACTTCTAGGTCCTTTAACCTCCAGCTAGGGGAGCCGCTTTGTGTTCCTTCATCTTCCCCTCCTCATTTGCCCCTAGGATTCTTCCCTGAGTCACTGCCCAACTAGCTTTTCCTGGCTTACAGAAAAGGATTTGCTCTAGATCCTGGAAAGGCTCAGCAACTTCCTGGCCCAGCACATAGCTGGGCTGCCTTAAGAGGATGGGCAGCTTACAATCCCTGCCTCTTGGAAGCTAGCCACCGTGTAAGCAATCTGTCTACTCTGAAACCACCATGCTGTGAGGAAGCCCAAGCTAGCCACATGGAGAGAGAGAGGCCACGTTGAGGAGCACCAAGGCGCCACCCACGTAAATGAAGCTTTCTTGGACTTTCCAGCCCAGCCCAGCTAAATGCAGTAGAGTGAGTGGTCTAAGCTGATGCCATATGGAGCAAAGGAATCTTCCAGCTAAATCTAGTCGACCTACAAAATTGTGAAAAATAATACATTTTTGTTGTTTTAAGTCATTAAGTTCCATTGTCATGCAAATTAATATATGAATATAATTAATATCTGAATGAAATGTTCTCTCTGTAATTATATATGTGACATATAATATGTATAATATTTATTATTTTTATTATTATTATTTCTGAACCATTTGAGAGGAAGTGGAAGAAATCATGACCCTAAATCTTTCAGTATCTATCTCTAGTGAACAAAACATCTTTTTCCGAAACCACAGTACATTTATCACTCAGAAAATTTAACATTAATACAATACTATTATCTCTTCGGTCCCTGTTCAGATTTTGCCAACTATCTAAATAGTCATTTATAGTAATTTTTTTGTTCAGTGCCAGAATCTAGCTCAGGATGGCACACTGCATTTAGTGGTTCTGTTAGCTACATTTAGCTGCATAACAAGTTACCCCAAACTTAGTGGCTTAAAACAATATTTATCATCTTGGTTTTTGTAGGTCAGGAATCTGGACATGGCTTAGCTGGGCTCGTTAGCTCAGGGTCCCTCACAAGACAGCAATCAAGGCGTCGGGTGCAGTCATCCTAGGGTTCAAATGGGGTAGGATCTGCTTCCACGCTCATTCAGGGATTGCTGGCAGGATTCAGGTCACCGCAGACAGTTGGACTTAGGGGCTCAGTTCCTTGTTGGCTGTTGGCCAGGCCTCCCCCGGTTCCTTGAAACATGGGCCTCCCCAGAGGGCAACTCACAACTGGCAACTTGCTTCCTCAGAGCAAGCACGCTGAGAAGAGCCAGAGAGAGAATTCTAGCAAGACAGAAATCTCAGTCTTTTGTAACCTCATCTCAGAAGTGACATCTCATCACTGAAATCTGCCTATCACAGTGCTCCTGTCTCTTTAGTCTCTTCTAACATGGAAAGTTTTCTTAGCCTTTTTATTTATTTTTGTCTTTCCCGTCATTGGCATTTTAAATATCACAGGCCAGTTCTTTTGTAAACATCTTTCCATTTGGTTCTGATGTGTCCTCATGATGAGGTTGGAGTGATGCATTTTTTGGCAGGAATACTTCACACTCAACCTTGTGTTCTTAGTGCATCACATCAGGACGTCTGTCCTGTCATTAGTGACGTTAACTTGGATGGCTTGGTTAAGATGGTGCTTAAGCTCCGTATTTTTAACCGCTTTGCAATTCTGCCTCTGGCTGGGAACGTTCTTTCTATTTTTCAAACAGGGTAAAAAAATGAGACCAATTCTCTTGGCTGAGCAATTGTGGGAAGAAGTTGAGCCTGGAAACTATTTTAGGATGAAAATTTCCAATGTCTTGGATCAGACCTTTACCCTCTACCTCTCATTTGCACCAAGGATACCTCCATGGGAGGCCCAGGCGTTGGCTGTCACGCCAGTCCGCGGCTTGGGGAATGAATGCCCTTTCACACTTCTGTTTCTTTCAATTGCTGTCCCTTCACTGAGAAAGCCCTTGTCTCGTCTCTACCTCCTTCTCTGCCTGTAGAACTCCGGCTCCTCTCTTAAGCCCAGGCTAGGGTCTTCAGCTCCAGGAATAAGGCCACAGTATTGCACAAGCCCAGGGGCCAACGGTCATATCCCGTTTTGTGTGCCTGGTGCCCCCTGGAGTTGTGCTGTGGTTCTGCTCTAGAAACTCCTCCACCAGCCTCACCTCAATTAGCACATTGTATCATTAGTATGTGTTTAGACGTATGTCTTTTCTAGACTGAGGGTGGGACTAAGGTTTGTTTACCTCTGTCAGCTCCAGTGTGTGCTCCAGTGTGCTCAACAAGGGTCGGGGGAACACAGGAACTTCTCAGTGATCACTTGTGCTCTACCTTCCCCTTCCTCCAACAGCAGCAGAGTCCCATTCTCTTTAATATGATGGTGACACAGTTCTGGCTTTTGGCCTTTGCATCCCCTTAGGTGCATCACAAAGTTCCAGCAATAAAATCCAAGACTCCATATGTCCCAGTGGGAAAGTCTCCCTCATGAAGCCAGCAGGTGCAGTTAAATGTAGCTTGTTGACAAATCTGTGAGTCTGCCCTCCCATCCGAGAAGACGCCATAAAGTCTGGAGGAACCCATGTGCAAAGATGCCCTCACTGAAAACCTGTCTGAGAGCGCACAGACTGACTTCAAGGCAGAGGCAGCCAGACACGTGAGGGGAGATGAGTTGAGGCGAGCGCAACCAGGTCTGTGGAAGATGCAGACAGACGGATGCTGGAAGTTTGCCCAGGAGGTGACATGGGGTCTGAATTCTCACCGAATCTCTGATACCCTGTAATAGGTCACAGAACTGTTAGTATTAGGACCAAAGCACCCAATCGGGTTTTTTGTGCTAAAAGAGAAACCAAAGTCTCACATCCTAGTCAGGAGCACTTTGCCCAGGCCGGCTCTGCAGGCAGCCTTGGTGGAAGTTCAGCTGGTCTGGACCCAGGCCAGGAACAGGGACCTCAACTCCCACCCGCCGAGGGGCCGGGCTCCTGGGAAGGCCTGCGTCATGCTCAGTTCTATTTGGTTCTTTATTTGCTGCTTGAAGCATGCCTGCTGTCTCTTTTCGCATCTGTAAATGTTGAGAATGACAGAGGGAGGCCAAGTGCAGATGTTGAGGCTTTTGCTTTTTTTTTAGCTTTTCCTACTTCTCCTCTACAGGAAATCACTTATTGTGTCTAAACGCCACACTCCCATTGAACATCAGGATTCCTGTCTTAGGCCTGAATTAGCTCAGGACGCTGATTACTTGGAAGTCCCAGGAGAAAAGCCGGACAAGCGGCATCCAAGACATTCTCGCGTTCTCAGGGGCATGGCCATCACCAGGATTCGGACAAGCAACGGGGAGGTTCGGTTTGTGTTCCGGTTCTGAGCCCTTTACCATGTTCCTCGCGAAGCTAGCCTCTGTACCCCCGAGGCGGAGCTGCCCAGCCGGCCACTGCCCCACACGCGGAAGGCGACGGGGTTCCCGCTCGCCCGGCAGCCCCAGCCAGAGACGCCATCTGCCCAGGATGGTCCGCGAAGATAATGCCAGGAGGCTCTGGCTGGCCGGGGAGGACCGACTTCCTTCCCGCTTCCCGGGTCTTGCGCTCTGGGAGCCCTGGACGGGCAGGCGGCGCAGGAAGGCGCAGAAGGGCAGGAGGGTGACCTGTTGCCGCCAGGGGAGAGGGTGCTGTGGTCTTTGGAAACCAGGAGGACTGGCATTTAGTCTCTCTGCCTCGGGGCGAGGGAGGAAGATCCTCCCCAGGCCAGAGATGACGGACATCCGCACAACCAGTGGGGACTCCCGAGGGAGTAGGGTGGGGGGTCACTAACAGCCTGGGGGGGCTCTGGCAGGGTGAAGCCGCGGGGATCTCCACGCAGCCTCTTGCGCCACGCACCCGCCCAGTGGCTGGGGGCGCCTCCGGGCCTCGCTGGGAGGGGGTGGGGATCCGAGTGATCCCAAGCGAGTCCCGGGGGACGGGCGGGCCGAGGTGCAGCGCCCGGAACAAAGGCCTAGAAAGGGGTCCTGGAGAGAGCGGCTCCCCGGGGGCGGGTCCCGGTCCCCTCCCCCTCAGCTCCTCCTCCTCCCCTTCCTTCCCCCAGAGGCCCGGCCGGCGCGCAGCCCGAGCAGCGCCAACTTCGCCAACGGTTCCGAAGTTGCAGGGCGCGCGGTGGTGGGAGCTGGGTGGGGTGAGGACGAGGAGGAGGAGGAGGGCTCCCCGGGCGCCTTGGACGCAGTTCAGGAATCCGCTGCCGCTGCCGCCGCCGTCGCGGGCCGCTCGCCGGCTCGGGCCGGAGCGGGAGGGCGCCAGGCAACACCGCTCGCTCGCCCGCTCGCTGCGCAGGCAGGACGGCGCCCTCCTGGCGCCGCTTCCCGCCCCGCGTGCCGACCCGCCGGGCAGCGCCTCCCTCCCTCCCTGCCGGCCGCCGCCCCCGGGGAGGGCGCGGAGCCCGGGCCGCGCGGGAGCCGGGGCCGCTGGGCCGCTTCTGCCGGGATCTTCCGAGAGGAGGGCGAAGTTGCGAGCGGATGCTGCCCGCGCCGGACCCCAGCCACGGAGGAGCAGATCCGCCCGCGCCGGGGGAGGCTCGGCGGCCGGGGTAAGTGGGGCGCCGGCGTCCCGGATCCGCCTCCCGGGCCTGGGGGAAGCCGCCCGGCCGTGCGCCCCCCGCCTTCCGCGTCCCGGCGCGCGCGCCAAACTTTGGGGGAAGAGGGGGGCGCAGCGGAGGGTGGGAGAGGGAGGTCCCGGCTCAGGGAAAACCCCACGCTGGCACCCACAACCCGCTGCACCCAGATTCACACCTGCCAGACACACACAGCTCCTCACCACTCAAGCGCCAGACACACAGCGCGTACAGATCTGAGCACTCGCGACACCGACAGGGCACAGCCGCAGCCCGAAATGCGCATTCCTGGGAGCGCGGGCGGTTTGGCTTTTAAACCAGGCACGTCCTTATGCCCCTCAAATAAATCCCTGGTCTTTGTCTGCTGCCCCCGCAGCCCCCACTGAGAAGGACTCCCCCCCCCCCCAAGCGCAACGGGCGGGGAAGGGGCTGCCTGGTCTTTGGAAAGTCGTGGCCGGGACCGAGGCCAAGGAGTGGGGAGGCGGAAAGCAGACACTGCAGTCAGTTCTCGGGGTTCAGCAGGGGTGGACTTGGTGTGGAAACTCGGTGTCTGGATGATGTGTCTGGGTGTGTGCTGCCCTTCCGGAGGCGAGGCACGGAGAGAGGAGGGAGTGATTCATAAAGTCAACCCAGCGTGCTGGGGTCTGTGAACAGAGTGGAAAAGGCTGGCAGGTCGGTGCTGTGCTGGACAGCTGGGTGGTGGCGGTGACAGGGGCTTTGAGAGAAGCAGAGACCCTCCCCCCAGCGGATGTGCTTTCTCAGAGGGACTTCCAGGGCGACCCGGTGAGGAGACTCCTGCCTAGGGTGTGGATGTATAAGGGAAGGTGGGGGAATTTAAGCCTCCAAGGTCAGGAGAAACCAGGACGGTCCTAAAGGCTTATTTATTTTACTTTCACCTGAAGTTGTGTTTGGTTTCTGATGTGTGGTGTCCTGGGGCCCAAGGTGTACCAAGGGCTTTCCTGGGCCTAGCATAGTGCCTGGCACAGTGAGTACTCGATAAGTAGTTGAGTGATAAATAGAGTCAACAGTAATTGACATTTATTATAGACTCACTAAGAGCCAAGCCCAGTGGGCCTCTGCTGGGTTGGAATTGGTCTTCCCACAGAGGAGGGGACTCTAGTGGCTCCGGGGAGCCCTGCCCGATCTGTTTGGGTAAGTGGCCCAAACAGCATGTTGTACTGTGCCCTGTGGGCTGGCATTGAGGACTTGAGCCACTTCATTGGTCTCTGTCCTCTGTCCCCCTAAGAGGGCAGCAGGAAAAGTTCCATTTCTGTACCTGACCAAGCTGGGAATGGTGTGGGGTTTGGTAGATAGTGTGCTGTTTGGCAGATTCAGTGGGGTCTCAGTTCAGGAATAACTTTAGATCTGCAGCAGAGAACAGTTGATTCCATCAACCCTCCCATCTCCTGGCTGCAGGGGAGAGGGGTGGGTTAGTGGAGGAAGAGATGGGCCAGGCCGGTGGGCATGTGCTGAGAGTAGAGGGGACATGGGAACATGTGGAACTGGGGGGCATCTGCTTTTTTTCCTGGCTCCTTCTGGCCTGGCTGGAGATGGGTCTCATGAAGGGTTAGGAGCAGTGTCCTCCAGGAGTGGCTCTGTGGTGGCAGCAGGTGGAGGGGTGGTCACGGTCCCTGTCCTGACTATTGGTGTGGGTTCTTCCATGCCACCTTGCCTGAGTTTCCCAGAGGAGCAGAAGCATCCCCCTTCCCAGAACTGGATTGCCAGTAGTCTTGTGATTCAGAGCACACAAGGTGTGGGGGTGGCTCAATGTAATTGAAAAGAAATGTATCATTCCCCACTCATTCCCCCTTGTGAAGAACTCTGACTAGGTTCAGTGTGCTTTTCAGACTTCTATTAATAAATGCTGAAATTAGCAAAGCCAAGGACTGTGGCCCCAGATGAGAGAAGGAGTAATCGGGGCTTGGCCACCCCCAATTTCAGGTGGAACACTACAGCCAGTCCCTTCCCCATGCCACCTCCCCACCTTCTTTATGCCTTCTGTGAATCAGGAGCCCTGTATATATTATCTCCTTAAGCCATTACATCTTGTAAGGTTAGCATTTCATCTCCATTTTACAGATTAGGAAACTGAGGGTCAGAAAAGTTAAGTAACTTCTTTAAGGTCGCACAGGTGGTGAGAGACAGAGCCAGGATTTGAACCTAGATCGTCTGGCTCCGGAACCCATGCTGTCCCCACCATGCCAGTGGTGGTGGTGGGGGGTGGGGCGGGGTTCTGTAAAGTCCCTAGTGGTTCTCATGGCAACAAGGAAACACCACTGATGCTGTATACTAACATGGTCCTGGGGCCTCTGACTGACTGCATTCTTCTTTCCTCACAGACTCTGCCGAGCTGGGTTATGCCATAGGCCATAGGACTCAAAGGCTGGGTGGTACCAGGCTGCTGGAGCCTTCTGTGTGGATCTGGAGCCAGGAAACAGTGAGAGGTTTAGGGGTAAATTCAGAGATATGTTGCAGTCACTCCAGTGAGAGATAATTTGCTGCTTGTCTGAGAAGTCGGGACAAAGCTGCCACTACGGCCATACCTTGGGTAGGGAAGAAATTGCCAGGTAAATGGAAGCATCCTCAAGTGGATTACTATATTCCTTTCCCTTTTTGGCCTTCCCCAGGGTAATCTATTACCTAGGGAAATAAGCCTTCCCTGTCACCTCTCCTTGTCACTTAACTGGTAAATATAAGGGGCCATCCTTCCCACCCTGATCACGTACCCTGGAGAGCTGCACTCCTCAGCAGTGTCTGGTCCACAGAAGAGATGGATGGGGTGGAGCCGGGTAGCCAGGTGGGCTACCCAAGAGGTGGCAACCACTTGGCTTATCTGGTCCCCAGCTCCTGCTTTCACACACATGCCCCACAGACAGACAGCAGTTATCTGTGGCCCCCACTTTGCAGATGAGGAAATGAGGCTTGGAGAGGTGCAGTGGATGGCAAGATTGTGAAGCCAGGGAGCTGTAGCTGTTCTGCCTTCAGGATACCCCCGTAGCCATGTTTCAGTCTGCTTGGTTTTTTTGTTTTGTTTTTGTTTTGTTTTGTTTTTGAGAGACAGGGTCTCATTCTGTCACCCAGGCTGGAGTGCAGTGGTACGATCACAGCTCACTGCAGCCTCGAACTTCTGGGCTCAGGTGATCCTCCTGCCTCAGCCTCCTCACTAGCTAGGACTATAGGCACATGCCACCATGCCCAGCTAATATATATTTTTTTTTTAATGGTTTAAAAAAGGGAGCATCGATATGTTGCCCAGGCTGGTCTCAAATTCCTGGCCTCAGGTGGCCCTCCCACCTCAGCCTCCCAAAGTGCTAGGATTACAGGCATGAACCACTGTGCCAGGCCTGCTGGTATTTTATACCCCTGCTCCCCCAAGGGCTGAGAGGGGTTACCTGCCCTGCTGGGGCAAGTTCCTCACTACTCCACCCAGCTCCATCTCTGCCCCAAGAGCCGCTGACACAGGTGTCCATAGTAGGGGAAAGGCTGGCACTTCCTAAAAGGAAGCCAGGAGCATTGGATGAGTACTGCCCTGCCGGTCCCTGCCCACGTCCACAGCAAGCCCACCTGGGTGAGTTCCCAGAGCCTTTGCAGGGCTGAGTTGCAAAGATACTGGGGCCCTCTCCCCCCTCCACTGCAGAATGGGCACGCTGGCCAGGATGGAAGTTGAGAGACTGGGTGTGAGGAGATGCCACGCCACCTGTGGGGCAGGGGCCTTGTACCCCTGGCTCCGCCCCAGTGCCTGGCACACAGGCGGTACACATGGGAGATACTTGGGACCGTTGTCAGGTGCTGGGTGAAGTTCAGGGAGGGGCTGAGAGTGTCTCTGCTGGGAAATTGAAAGCAGCGAGTGCTGAGGGAGCCTTAGCTGCGTGGGAACACTCAGAGAGGTCTCTGGCTTGCGGTGAAGTCTGAAAGGAAACAGTTCCCCTTTTCATTCCTTAAACAGAAATGGTACTTGTCACCTTTTCTTCTCTGAGGCCTAAAGAGATGCTAGAATGCTGTTGGTCCCACCCACCCAGAGCATGTGGATTCCACAGCTGGGTGTGGGTTGGCCCCCTGGCAGGCCGGGACAGTTAGCTCTGTGCTTGAGGGTGGACACACTTCAGCCTTCTGTCTCCATCACCCCAAATCTGGCCAGTTGCTCCTGGGCCCTGGGCAGTGTGGAGGGAGGGGGCAGGCCTCCTCTGACCACCAGTAACTTCATGTCTCCAACTCCCACCCTCTCCCCTCCCCCGCCCTGGCCTCCTAATAAAGATGGCTGTGTGCTGCAGGGCTGTGGGTTTCTCTGGGCTCTGGGAAATTTATCACTGGGGTTCGGGAGGAATCTATGAAAAGGATTTGGAGGAAAAGTGTGGAAAATAAACAAGCCAGTTCCCAGCTCAGCCTCTCCTGAATGCCACAAGTAAACAACCACCTCGGAGGCCAGCCTGGGATGTTCTTATTTGGCCTCCCGTGGTTACACCTGCCCCCTCCCTGCCCAGCCCCTCCTCCTCGACTTTGGGAGCCTCAAAAGTCAGGAAACACACCCTGCACCGGCCAGTCCTTGTGCTGCAGGGACGCGGTGGCCACGGACAGGAAGAACATGTGTGTGGGAGAGAAGCTCGCAGGGGGTCTCAGCTCGGCCCTGCTCCATCTGAGTGAGTCGCAGGCCTGGTCCTGCCCAACGGGCAGATGGTGACCTCCAGATGGGTTGGTGAGTTTGATTTCAATGGTGGATACCGGTGGGGTTTTTTTCCAGTTTTGTGGTATCTAAGGAAGCTTTGTATCTTAAATGGTGCTTTAGGGTGGGTAGACCAAAGCTAATTCTCTCATTGTGTCTCCCTAAGGTGGGACCACCTGTGAAGAAACGTTCAAAATCCTTATATTCCTTCACTTTGTAGATTTCCAGGACTAAAATGTCAAATTTCTTTGCTTTTGGCTGTAGTCATAACAGCTCAGGGGTGGTGGTGATATAATGATGACACCAAGGATCTTGA